TGCTGATGCTGATGCTGCTGATTATGATGATGCTGATGCTGATGATGCTAATGATGATGATGCTGATGATGATGCTGATGATGATGAGGATGATGATGATGCTGCTGCTGATGATGATGATGCTGATGCGGATGCTGCTGCTGATGATGATGATGATGATGATGCTGATGACGATGATAATGTTGATGATGATGCTGATGCTGATGCTGATGCTGCTGATGATGATGATGATGACGATGTTGATGATGATGATGATGCTGTTGATGATGATGCTGTTGCCGATGATGATGATGATGATGATGATGATGATGATGGTGATGATGGTGATGATGGTGATGGTGATGATGATAGTGATGATGATGATGATGATGATGATGATGATGATGATGATGATGATGATGATGATGATGCTGATGATGATGATGATGATGATGATGATGATGATGATGATGATGATGATGATGATGATAAAGATGATGATGATGATGATGATGATGATGATGATGATGATGATGATGATGATGATGATGATGATGATGATGATGATGATGATGATGATGATGATGATGATGATGATGATGATGATGATGATGATGATGATGATGATGATGATGATTATGCGTGGGGAGGCGGATGATAATAAAAGAGGTGAGGGCGCCGTAGGAGGATGGGGAGAGACGATATTAGGTGGAGAAGAGAGGAAGGAGGATGAGTAGAGGAGGAGGAGGAGGAGGAGGAAGGGAGGAGGAGGAGAAGGAGAGGGAGGAGGAGGAGAGAGGAGGCAGGACAGAGTAAGGAGAAAGCGGAGGAGGAGGAGAAGGAGGAGGAGGAGGAGGAGGAGGAGGGAGGAGGGTGAAGAGGAGGGGGAGGAGGAATGGGCGGCTGCGTCTGAACGGCACAGGAGCCAGCAGCACGAAGCTCGAAAGAGGAAGAAGTGGTTTAGGAGGGGGATGATGAGGAGGATGATGATGAGGAGGAGGAGGAGGAGGAAGAGGAGGAGGAGGAGGAGGAGGAGGAGGAGGAGGATGAGGTGGAGGCGGACATGGAGGAGGAAGAGGCGGAGGAGGAGGAGGAGGAGGAGGAAGAGGCGGAGGATGCGGAGGAGAAGGAGTGGGACGAGGTGGAGGCGGAGGAAGAAGAGGGGGAGGATGCGGACGAGGAGAACGAGGATGAGGAGGAAGAGGAGGAGGTGCAGAGTAGGGGGAGAACCATCAGCAGCAGGCGGCAGATGCAGAGGGGGCTCGGCAAGGGGCAACGGGGGCGGACACGACGCCGCCGCCTGCTTGCACTTGTCACATTTCCTCCCTCTGCCGTGCAGTGCCATCGCCTTCCTCTGCTCAGTTTATCCACTTTGTGCTGCGCGGACGTAGCATACCATCATCGCGGTCACGCGCGCACGCAAGCCCAGGAGGAATGGGGGGGGGGGGGGGCAGTTTGCGATGATCGATCCTCGAGCGCGACTCGAAGCGTGCGTGAAGCGCGCGTGGCATTAGTAGGTATATACATGTAAATGCGTCTGGCCTGCGCGTACTTGACCTTCTCTGCTGGAGCCCCTCCTTTCTACAATCTGCGGAGGGCTTTCGTTCCGTGCGCACTAGGACGCCCCCCCGCATGAACCAACTACTTTCAGAACACCTTTCTGCGCGACGCACTCGCACTTAAGTCGGATGTGCGTGCAGAATCTCCGATGAACGCCTATCGCGCGCGTTTCATGCAACCCATGTCCGTTGGATACCTGGGGGGCCGCAGCAGAGCAGACGGTAACACATCACGCAAGAGGCCCGAGGCCTGGCGTAGAAGGCGAGTCGAAGAATCTCGCAAGTATGCTCCTGGGAGCCGAGCCTCCGCATTTCGCGCACCGCACACCATGATGCGCCAGGAGCTTAACATGCCTCTCTTCGGCTCGACTTTGTCGCCGAAAATCGACGGCCGACTTCTGGTGGCTATGAGCAAATCACCCTCCTTCTCCTCGTGCTCCTGGTGCTGGCCCGCCTCCTCCCCGGCTGGGACTGGCTTTCCTCCTCCTCCTCCTCCTCCTCCCTCCCCTTCCTCTTCCGAGCTGTGTGCTGTTGGCTCTTGTGCCGTTCAGCCGCAGCCATCCCTTCCTCCTCCGCCTACTCCTCCACCACGGGTTGTAGACAGAGAAGAGCAGAAAAGGGAAGAGGGAAGAGGAGGAGGAGGAGGAGGAGGAGGAGGAGGAGGAGGAGGAGGAGAGATGAAGGAAGGAGGAGGAGGAGGAGGAGGAGGAGGAGGAGGAGGAGGAGGCGTTCAGGCGTCCAGAGGGCCTGCACGGGTGCGCATCGCGACCAGCGAAGGGGAGGACAGACCCTCCCAAATGTGGGCTCCTCCCAGGGGAAGCGCACACCTGGGAGGGGTCCGCGGCCTCGGGGGAAACCCCGGCGAACGACTATGACCCCTTCTCAAGAGGGGGCAGCATGGGAAGTTCCGTTCTCCCCTCGGCCGCTTCGCCGCGCTCAGCGGCGCCTCCCGCGCCCTGGGCCTTCCCAGCTCCTTCCTCCTCTTCAGCTCGACGCCCGAGCCGATGGACAGACGCCCAGCGCCTTGCCGAGCTCATGCAACTTGTCGCAGTCGCTGAAGGAGCTTGGTGCGGTAATCTGCTCCAGCACCGCGTCTTGGTCCTGGACGCCCAGCGCCTCCATCGCATTCTTGAGGAGCATCTTTGCCTCCTCCCTCGTCTTCTTCTCGGCTCCGCCGCTTGAGAGACTGACCGATCTGCTCGCAGCTTGCTTCGCCGCCTCCGGGTTCTTCTTGCCCTTCTTCCGCATCGGCACGGAAGAAGCCGATTTCGCGCTGCGGTCGCCGACCCCGCGCTTCTCGACCACTGGCTGCACGATGAAGGACTTGCCGTTGCTCGAGCCCTGCTCCGCCTGCGGCACCTCCATCTTTTCGACCTTGTCGCACGGCGCCCCCGCCTCGATGGCAGCGGTCCCGATGAGCCGCACCCCGAGGAAGTTCCCGTCGCGCCGTACGGCCCAGGCCTCCTTCACCTGGCGCTGAATTT